AAAGGCTTGATGTTGTTGTTGTTGTTGTTGTAATAATCGGCCTCGACCTTCACAATCGGCTTCCGCAGGTTTTCCAACTGCTTCTTAGGGAGAAGAGGTGCAACTCATTCAATGGAGGAAGAAACCGCTTTTGAGCGAGAGGAAGAAGCATTGAAGACCCCTATCGTTTAACCATGGCAACTTTATCTAGAGAATATCGCACGGTGTTTTAATCGGTCGTGAATATAGCGGGAAAAGAAAATTATTTTGCCGCACTTTATTAAAAGTTCCTTAATTATATTGTAGTAAAAAAGTTATCTTTTTTTGTGTTTCCTATAGTTGGATTAGAGATTTTCACAGTAGCCGAGTGGTCATGACTCTGTACGTAGAATGATCGTGGATGAATAACTCTTGTCTAGGTGAACAAAAACTGAGTCTCAAGTGAGTTTGGAAGTGTCCTTCTTGTGGACATGCCATGGGCAATGACTTCTAGGTCTTGCCTACTGGGACAAGTTTTCTCGATATGGTTTTGCTAGGAGAGTGATTGTGAATCTCCGAATAAGCACTGACCATCTAACTACGTGGTCACTTCCCCTCATAAAGAGATTATTTTGTGGGGACACTAGACTGAAGGACCGTCCGATACCGCTTGCAGCAAGTCGTACCGGACGCACAGTACCGCTCAGTATCACTCTCGGTACCGAGTGCGGTACACTTTTGGAGTGAAGTGATGTATTTTTATTGGTCTCTGGACGACGTCCGTCCGAGTTTGCCTCTGAAATGTTGTGACCACTTCAATCAAATCCATTGGTTGGGATCCATTAGTTACTTGCATGATATATGCATAGGCACGTACAAGTATACAAGTAACTCATGTGGTTCCTGGGAGATGAAGGCATATGGAATTGTTTCGATGAGTGCTTGCTATCAGTTTTTGAATTTGAGCTAGCTGAGCACTTACACAGTTTTTTGGTAAATAAGCTTGAGCTCCATTCTTTTGCAACCTTATTTGTATGAACATGTTATTGTGAGAGTTTAATCTGTTATATAATCCATCAAAATAGGCTACTCATTTCAGTACCTCAAATCCTTATCAACAATGAGAACCTCCTAATTAACCATTTGCAATATATTAACAAAAAAGTAGTCTTATAATAGCTCAGATGTCACCTATCAGTTTTTGACGCATCTGCGATGAAAAAGTGGTGAACAGATGAGCATGAACTGGAAGAACAGCTTGCAATGGCTCAAGAATGGATTGTCCAAGACCTTATAAAAATACATTGAAGGCCAAAAGCTTATAAAAGACAAAAAAAGATACAGTCAGCAAATGGCGGAGTCAGAAAATTATTTCATGGGCCTAAATTTATTTTGACAAACTTCGACCAACATATGCAATTTTAGAGAAAAAAAAAACAAACAAACACTAGACATAACTAATTTGTCTAAATTTACAAATGATTTGTAAATCAGATAAATACTGATATGATATATTACAATTTAAAAAAAAAAGTTATTATTCAGACTTTTTTAAGATTCTACATTTATTTTCAACCAACCACGAGACCAAGAACAGAAATTGAAAGCACACGAACATCCATTATATTGGGTCCAACTCCCCGCAGCCGTTCCCAAAACAGAGGAAACCAAAAGAATGAAAGTCTGGCTCCCAGTAGCAATGCGAATTGGAGGAAGGCATCCATAGACCTGCAACAAAAACAAAGCCAGCAATGAGAGAATCCACTGGGCAAAGAGAAAAAGCCAGCTCCAGCAATCCAAATCAATTTCCAGAAACATGCTCCCAGGCTTATTGTCTGGACTCAGATTTAAAGAAGTCTTCATATAAATGATGTTCCCTGGTTGCCCGAAGACCATCCAAGGGACCTGCTGAGGGAGCCTCATCATTGTCCAGACAAGCCAAAATAGCAGGGAAGAGGCAACGGACACCCGGGCATTTCCACACTTTACAGTAAATCTATCAAACTTTCTGCATCTTTCCATTTCAGAAGCTTCTCAAAAAGAACTCTTTTGATAACATGAGTAAGCGAGGTATAGCAAATAAACTTCCCCCCAAACCTTCTATTATTTCTTTCTTTCCACAAAAAATATATAATTGCACCAATAGCAATTCTATGAAAATTCACCTCCGATTTTTTCTCAAAAACAGCCACAATCCAATCAGATAATTGCATAATAGAGGGTCTCAGTAGATAATTTCTAGTACCAGGAATAATGCCGAGCAAAATAGCGAAAGAATAATTGCACTCAAAAAACAAATGAGATATAGATTCATCATGAGAATGGCATAAATTGCAAGTGGCCGGAACTTGGATGTGCCTAATAAAAAGTGCATCCGCTGTTTTTAACCCTCCCATTAAACCTTGCCATACAAAAACTGAATGTTTTAAAATATGTTTTTTGTGCCATATGAGTTTGTACCAATTGCAATCCGGCATATCAGTGTAAAATTCCTCCATATACTGATTAAATTTAGCTTGACATTTGTTTTTCCAAAGCAGACAAGGTCCTTCATGTTCAGCAATATTAACACTTAAACAAGCTTGTTGCAGCAGAGTTGGGAAATGCACTGGAAAATCCCAAAAGCCTCCAGAAATAAGTTCAGAAATGCAGCAATCCGAAATATCACCCACATAAGCATCTCCTAAGTAATCATGCAGCGGAAGATGGTGACACCAGTGATCCCATAGCAAAGATATAGGCGCATTCCTAGTAATAGTAAAACTAAATTGCTGCTTAGCTTCTAAAGCAGTTTTACAAATCTGTTTCCAAAAAATAGAGGCATTGGAATGTGGCAATTTCCAAGGAGAGTTGTATTTATGGAGAAGCCAAGTGGAAAGAGGAGAAGAGCCATTATACATCCTAGTGATGATAGAGCAGTTGAAAGCAAATTGCAAAACAG